TTTTTATCTGTCATGTGGTGTTTCTGAGCAAGATAAATATGAGATAGATGAGTTTATAGTAGATGATGTGGAGGACCGAGAGGAAGAGGAGGAATACCAGCTGACAATGGCCAGGAGAGGCAGAAGAACTAAAATAACTAAAATTACGAGTTGCCGCACCGTGAAATGGCTAAAATATCAGGATCTCTAATCTCTTTTGTTTGCTCTTTGTTGTCTGACTTGGTGGAGATAAACGACTTGGGACACTGGCTGCAGTGTATCATGGCGTGTAATAGAATAAACGAAATGCAGAGAAAATTGTAAACATGTTATCATATATTTTGACATTATTTTTTGGACAAAGCAAGTCTTTAAAATTGTGCATAACAATTGGAATTCAAGATAGAAATGATTGTCACATGTTATCATATATTTTGATAACATGTTATCATCTTGTGACCCTGCGCGCAGTGTGACTATAATGGTTGCTTGGCTTCTCGACATCGCGCATCAGTGTTGGTTGCTTTAGATTGACGGGTTGCAACAGTGTCTTTGTGAGAGAAGAGTAAGTGAGGGATAGAGAGAAAATATATGACAAATGATTAGGGTTTACAATTGAATTTAGGTGGGTAGGTGGTTGGGGTGGTATAACTATATAGATTAATTGATTTTATAATATTATTATTAGTATTAAAAGTATGAATTAACATCTGATTTTTGTATATACATTTACTGGGATTAATTCATCGCAACTTTTTTTTTTTTTTGGAAAAAATATTATTCTGGATAGTGAATTTTCGGAGAAAGTGTGATTAAAAAGTAGGGAGAAATTTTGGATTTACATGTAAAATATTTTATTTTTTGAATATGTGGTTAAAAATGAGTATGTAGAAAAAATTGTTCTAAAAGAATAAGAAACAAGTAAGGACTTTGTATGACTATATCAACGTAGATGGAATAAACCTACTCGTAGGATATTAAAAACATCCAACTTCCATTGCGGCAATTGGCAGAAAACCTGAACGAGCATTCAGAATAACTCGACTCGAGGCGCTTCACACTGAGGATCCTTAGTATAAAAAATTGTGTTGTAGACCACGACGATCCTACAAGAAGATTTGCGATCCTAAAAGTCAGGCTCTGTATTTGAAGCCTTTGATTGGCTATTGTTTGTAAGCTAGAAAGCTTGGATCGTGACTCTCACTATTTAACAATGTTCTGAAAATCAGTTGCAATATTAATCTGAAAAATGAAAAAAATTCTAATATTCCTGCATAAATAAATATTTCATGTCAATTTAATACTAATAATGATGAGTATTGAGTTCCATACTTTAAAAGTATTAAGAACATCTTCAAAAGACTCTTTAAATATGAGATGTTCTTTATTTTAAAGAGTCAACTTTTAAAATCATGCTCCAAGAAACTCTTTAAATTAATATTTTAATTTAGAGCTTGTTTGGGAGGGATTTTTGGGGGAAGAATTGATTTTGAATAGTAATATGATGGGAAATGTGTGGTTGAAAAAAAAGAAAAAATTATTGATGTGATGGAAAATATTGTTTTATTAGAGAATGTGTGATTGAAAATTAGAATTGATTTACTGTAGAAAAATCTAAATTCCTCCCAAAAACAGGGCTTAGAGAGTGAGTTTGACTCTCCAAATGAGAGTGAGTTCTTCACTCTCTATAATTAAATGCATTCAAAGTGTTTCAATTTTCAAAATAGGAAAACAATAAAATAATATATAGAAAAGCCAGTTAAAATAAAAGATAAACAAAAATAATAAATATTTTTTGGGAATTATTCTCATTCTCGTCTTATTTATTAAGTACAATAGTACATCCATCCATCCATCGATGATTTATCCAACATTTATCGGGACAATGATTTGAGTACAATCTTTTTTTTTTTAAAGAGGAAATCATTTGATTTCCTTTACATTTAAAAATGAAGAAGGGGCCGGCTATTCATCTCCAATTTAGAAGAATTGAGTCGATTAAAATTTGTTGGAGCCCCATTTTCTACAAAACTAGATTTTGTAATAATAATTTTTTAGAGAATGAGTAGTTAAAAAGTAGATTTTTTTTTTTGAATTTATGTGTAGAATTATTAAAAGAATGTGAAGTTAATAATACATTTTTGAAAAAAAAAAAATAAGATTTCGTAAAGCTGACAATGGCCAGGAGAGGCAGAGGAACTAAAATAACTAAAATTACGAGTTGCCGCACCGTGAATGGCTAAAATATCAGGATCTCTAATCTCTTTTGTTTGCTCTTTGTTGTCTGACTTGGTGGAGATAAACAACTTGGGACACTGGATGCAGTGTATCATGGCGTGTAATAGAATAAACGAAATGCAGAGAAAATTGTAAACATGTTATCATATATTTTGATATTATTTTTTGGACAAAGCAAGTCTTTAAAATTGTGCATAACAATTGGAATTCAAGATAGAGATGATTGTCACATGTTATCATCTTGTGACCCTGCGCGCAGTGTGACTATAATGGTTGCTTGGCTTCTCGACATCGCGCATCACTGTTGGTTGCTTTAGATTGACGGGTTGCAACAGTGTCTTTGTGAGAGAAGAGATAAGTGAGGGATAGAGAGAGAATAGATGACAAATGATTAGGGTTTACAATTGAATTTAGGTGCGTAGGTGGTTGGGGTGGTATAACTATATAGATTAATTGATTTTATAATATTATTATTAGTATTAAAAGTATGAATTAACATCTGATTTTTGTATATACAAAATTGGAACTTAAAAAAATCTGGTTCCTTGTAATTTCCCCTGGGATATATTATTTTTCCTAAAAATTGGACCTTTTGAAAAAATTAGCATAAAACTTAAGACTAGTTAGAAATTACATTTTAATTACATACTAATATCGTATTAATTACAGTTAAAACACATTTAATCGTACAATAAAGTTAGTTGTAAAAACATAGTTGACAACTACGTGTTGTCAAAATTCGGACTGTTGATATGAAAAATGGTTTTTAATAATTTTTAAAATGAATAGATGTAACGATGTTGAGTGTATAGTTGTCAACCATGCATGTTTTTACAACTAACTTTATTGGCCCCCATCAAATTAAATTACATTACATTAAATTTTTCTCTCTTCATTACAACCACACATTCATCAAATAAAATAATATTACACACAAATTTAAAACTTTTCATTACTTTTCTACCACACATTCTCCTATCAATCACTATTCCAAAAATTTTTCAACTATCAAAAATCTCAAATAATGAGGGCCAAACAGGGTATTAGTATAAAAAATTGTGTTGTAGACCATGACGATCCTACAAGAAGATTTTCGATCCTAGAAGTCAGGCTCTGTATTTGAAGCCTTTGATTGGCTACTGTTTGTAAGCTAGAATGCTTGGATCGCGACTCTCACTATTTACCAATGTTCTGAAAATGAGTTGCAGTTTTAGTCTGAAAAATGAAAAAAATTCTAATATTCCTGCATAAATAAATATTACATGTCAATTTAATATTAATAATGCTGAGTATTGAGTTTCATACTTTAAATGTACTAAAAACATCTTCAAAAGACTCTTTAAACATGAGATGTTTTCTATTTTAAAGAGTCAACTTTTAAAATCATGCTCCAAGAAACTTTTTAAATTAACATTTTAATTTAGAGAGTGAGTTTGACTCTCCAAATGAGAGTGAGTTCTTCACTCTCTATAATTAAATACATTCAAAGTGTTTCAATTTTCAATGTAGGAAAACAATAAAATAATATAAAGAAAAGCCAGTTAAAATAAAAGATAAACAAAAATAATAAATATTTTTTGGGAATTATTCTCATTCTCGTCTTATTTATTAAGTACAATAGTGCATCCATCCATCCATCATTTATCCAACATTTATCAGGACAATGATTTGAGTACAATCCTTTTTTTTTTTTTTTTAAGAGGAAATCATTTGATTTCCTTTACATTTAAAAAAGAAGAAGGGGCTATTCATCTCCAATTTAGAAGAATTGAGTCGAAAGATGTTTAAAATTTGTTGGAGCCCCATTTTCTACAAAATTAGATTTTATAATAATAATTTTTTAGAGAATGTATAGTTAAAAAGTAGATTTTTTTTTGAATTTATGTGTAGAATTATTAAAAGAATGTGAAGTTAATAATACATTTTTGAAAAAAAAAAATAAGATTTCGTAATAATATTTTTCGGAGAATGTGCGATTAAAAAATAGAATTTTTTTTTTTCGAATTTGTGTGTAAAATTATTAGAAGAATGTGAAGTTAATAATAAATTTTTGAAAAAAAATAAGGGGTTGGTTCTCTTCGTGTTTCAATTTTGAATTCATTGTAAATTTTGTGTTTTGAGTGTCCATTTTGAGATTAATGAAAATTCGCTCTTTTTGTCATTTTGAAAAATTGTTTTTAAAAAAAAAAAAGAAGTTTTGACTTTGTTTTAACTGAAAACAGCCAAAACGACTTTTATGGCGTTTTCCGTTTTCTTTATAAATTTTAAATTCGTTTTTGAAAATTTGTTTCTGAAAATAGATAAATAAACTTGTTTACAATATTTTTGAAAATTGAAAATGAATTGAAAACAGTAAAGAGAACATACCCTAAATCTCTAAAGAGTGAGACTCAAATAGGGGTTTAAGTAGTATCTGATGTAATTTATCCAAATATTTAATTCAGTCATTCGCAACATCTTTTCCCACGAAACCCGCTCAAATGCGAAAAATATATTCATTGCCACGTGGCTCGCATTAATTGGTTATAATAAGTATGAGTGCACTATGATTGGTCAGTTTCCCCTAGACCACGTTGGTATTACGAATTGAGTCGTGTATTCCCAATTCCCCGTCTTGCCTCTGTAAAATAAACTCAAATCCCCATTTTCCCTAAAAAACAGTAATATCACGCGCATACAGATTTTGCATAATTGGATTGGATTTTCGTTTTTGTTGCCTATTGGATCCGATTTCAAACCCTAGATTTGAGTGGAACTTAATTTTGATCTCTGTGCCAAAAAACATGGCTCATCGAAGATCAAAATCATTGCTCATTTTATGCTTTTATTGTTACTATCTAATTGCCCTTGCTGCGTAAGTGTTGATATTCATGTTGCCAATTGAGTATGTTAATTCATTTGGAGTAGTGTTTAATGTAATATGTTATGTCAATAAATTCTTTTGGATTATTTACAGGAAGAGTTACTATGACATTCTGCAAGTTCCTAAAGGCGCTTCCGATGACCAAATAAAACGAGCTTACCGGAAGCTTGCTTTGAAATATCATCCGGATAAGAACCAAGGAAATGAAGAGGCTAACAAGAAATTTGCTGAAATTAACAATGGTAGTTATTTTTATCTCATCTTTTTCGTTCTCTTCAGTAATTTGCGTTTGGTTAAGTAGTTTGTGATGTTCTTGGATTGTCATTGATTTGGTTATTGCAAGCTTAAGAATGCTTTGATTGGTTGAACAAGAAATTTGCTGAAATTAACAATGGTAGTTAATATTATTTCATATTTTTGTTCGGTAATCTGTGTTTGGTTAAGGTTATGATATACTTGGATTGACAGCAATTCGTTTGTTGCCAAATAATAATAATAAAATAAAAAATTAATTGTTGGGTTTTTACAGCATATGAAGTGTTATCCGATGGTGAGAAGAGGAGTATATATGATAGGTACGGTGAAGAGGGACTTAAACAGCATGCCGCCAATGGTGGTGGTAGTAGATCTGGCGGAATGAATTTTCAGGACATATTTAGCTCGTAAGTTTATGCCTCTTTTTCTTTCTGGTATTTTATTTTTGCTTTAATAGATGTGATGTCCTTGTTGAAGATCTTTCCTGAGCACATTTATTACCATACTTTTGATGTTTTAACTTTGATGTATGGAAAATTGGAAGGGTTTATACTGAATTGATGGTGTTAACTGTAGGTGTTGCTGATAGTAGTCCTATAGACGAAGTTAACTTCCAGTATGTTTTTGACACTTTAAAAGTAATCTTAGATTTGCGATAGTTTGAATGGTATACCAATGTAAGTGTTCTTTCATATGCATACCATGGATTTATGACTTCAAACTATTTTAATGAAGTCAAACCTGAATCGAATAGGACTTTGTTATCACTTTGTAATTCCTTTATAATATTTAAGAAACTGTTCATTTCTAGGTACAAAATGTTCGAGTCACTAGGTGCTTCTGTCATCTGCATCCATTTCTGACAATATTAACTACCCCTTACCCTAGCAAAAAATCCTGTCCTCCGTAACATTTCCAAGGTAGCTACAATTTCTCATTTCGAACCTTATCCCTGGTTGGAATTTTGTTTTCGGTAGCAAAGGTTGTGAGTTTGAGAAACCTGGGGTTACTGTTATTGATGTTAAATAAAGAATCAAAAAGTAAGGAATTTACTACAGCTAGATGTTGTGGTATTACTGTTTTTTTTTTAAACTTATCCCTGTCATTCTCCAGATTGTTCTGACATTCTTTCTTTCATTTTCCATCTTAGTATTCTTCTTTATCATCTCCATTGCTTAAAAGGATAGATTTTTCTAGGTTTTTTGGTGGAGGCCCAACGGAAGAAGAAGAGAAGATCGTGAAAGGCGATGATGTAATTATCGAACTGGATGCAACACTTGAAGATCTATATATGGGGGGTTCGTTGAAGGTAAATTGAATTTTTGAAGGAATTTGTTTGTTAATACATTTTCTTGTTTCTCGCTATACATTAATATATAATTGGTTAAACCACAGGCTAAATAATATCAAGCGTCTATCTTTATGTTTGTATATACCTTGGTCTATTTGTTTTAGGTTATGGCAGCATGATTTTACAAACTGAAATTTTCTCCTTTTAAATAGGACAGAGATTTTAGAGTGGAGTTTTTCTATGGCATTTATGGAATCTTCATCAGTTACGTTATTGAACTGTCATCTAATTTTGCATTCTTTTTTTAGCATGAAAACTAGCAGAGTCTCAACTCAGCAAAAACTACATACCTTATGACTGAGTATTTCCATATAATTTGGTAGAAACCACTATAGTATTAACGTAATTGACTCATTCCGTGAAAGTGCATGTGTGGATCAGGTTTGGAGGGAGAAAAATGTGTTAAAACCAGCCCCAGGAAAGAGACGTTGCAACTGTAGAAATGAGGTTTATCACAAGCAAATTGGTCCAGGGATGTTCCAGCAGATGACAGAGCAGGTTTTTATTGCCTTTCGAGAAACAGCTCAAACTACCTCTTGAGCTGGATGGATGGATTTTTCTTTTTGGCTGTTATATTACATGGAATGAAGTCTGTTTATATTATTTTTTTCCAGGTTTGTGAACAATGCCCAAATGTGAAGTTTGAAAGGGAGGGTTATTTCGTCACCGTGGATATCGAAAAAGGAATGCAGGATGGGCAAGTAAGTGTTCTGATTTGTATTACTATTATCTATCTTCCTATTACCAGTAAAAAAGTTCTATATACTTTTTAGAGTACCTTGGAGTATGTTTGTCACCTGTGCATGGTCAAGTGTGTGGGTGGAGTGGAATGGTGGGATGCATGGAATAGAGAAGTATGACATTGTATGAAAGGGAGGTTATTTCTTAACTGTGGATATCAATAAAGGAACGCAGGATGGGCAAGTTAGTGATTAGTACTATATTCCTTTTTTGTGTAATAGAATGTGGTGCATGTTTGTCACATGTGCGTAGTGTAGGGTAAGTGGGTGGGATTTTGGGATGCATGGAATAGAGTCATAGAGAAAGTGCGACAAAAGTAGGATGGAAACGTGAATTAATATTACACTTGCATGACGTTACCGATGTCCAGTTTTGTACGCTTGACTTTGTAACACCAAAAATGAAAATTTGTTGTGTGAACCAATGTTTGAAAAGACCTAATTTGGTACTGAGGCTTTTTTTTCTTCATGAGGCATTTTGAGACGTATGCGTCGCAGTATGTTACAAATTATTAAAATGCAAAATAAGCTCATAATACCTCATAATAATAGAATAATTTAAAGGATGCAAAGAAACAAAATAAAGCGTCGCAGTATGTTACAAATTATTAAAATGCAAAATAAGCTCATAATACCTCATAATAATATAATAATTTAAAGGATGCAAATAAACAAAATAAAAATCTGTAAAGAAACTATTATTTTAGTTGCTAGGGCAATTGCAAAGTGGGTGAGAATAAATTTTTTTTAATGTTTTCGAGGGCAGTAGGTTATTCTCAAAATGGGTAAATAAGAGTTTTCTCGTTTTGTGGGTCGCAAGCCTTGAAGAAGGGGTGTTGTGAGGATTACGCCTCAAAAAAATACCTCACAATTAGCTCCTTGAGGCGTTTTTCTCACGCCACATTCTGAGGCAGGTTTTATCTATCAAAAAAAAACATTCTGAGGCAGGTTTCAAGTGGGTTTTTTAAATCATAATGTGAACTACCCTCTGTAAATATAGCATTCACTTTCTTAGTGTTATAGATATCACCGTATCCCTATTTCCATCCTTATATGTCTTCTTGCTCGTCGTTTGTGCACATCGTACCATTTTTCTTCTTGCTTGTTGTGGTTATGGGATTCCCAAAAGAGAAACTTCCAGGAATGCCCCCATCTTGTTGGGAAACAGGACATGTCGATTTTTTAGGAAGGGCAATCTGTTTCCCGAAACTGGTGTTTGTGCTAATGTGCTTTTAGCATATAGAATTTCCTGTGTTTGAATGGAGCATTAGCGGTTGAGGGAGTAATCAGAAATATTGTAGTGCAGAATTTGTCTAATTAATATGTTTTGTGGTGGCATAAATTTTACATCTAAATGTTACATTCCTTGGGTCTTGTAGGATAACCGATTTTATGCTTCAAATAAAGCTGTCACTAAAATATTTCTACTAGCTTTTATGGTTGAATTTCATTAGTTTTAAGGATTTTCTGAAAAGCGCTGGCTGCCTGTTTCTATAGGAAGTTGTCTTTTACGAAGATGGGGAGCCCATTATAGACGGTGAAGCTGGAGACCTGAAGGTTTGATCTTTATCCTTGGTCTTTAAGGTGGTTATAAGCCTCATTAATATAATTCGGGATGATTATAACTTGTGTTTGGACAGTTTCGCATTCGTACTGCACCTCATGATCGCTTCAGGAGGGAAGGAAATGACCTGCACACAACAGTTACTATTACTTTGGTAATATTGATGTCATCAAGTTTTCATAATTCTAATTTTACATTGTGTCGATATGCCTCTAGACAAATGTGTAAAGGAAGCATTTAAAGGAAATATTTTTGCCACGGTTTGAAAGGTTGATATTTTTCCTGCAAAATTTCTTTGGCGTCACTTTGGCATAGTTTTTCTGAAAACCAAGTATTGCTTGTTATACTGTATCCTCTAGTGGAAAAGAACATTATCGTGTTTTTCATTCTATCTTTGCATGTGTTTTGTCAGTTCATTGTAGTAATCATGAAACTTTGGAGCACTCATTATACAGTCATCTGTTTGGTTTTAACTGAAATAGTTTATCCTGTAAACTTCCACTTCATTCAGGTGCAAGCTCTTGTTGGTTTTGAGAAGACTATCAAACACCTCGACGATCATTTAGTGGATATAAGCTTGAAGGTGAGCATACCATATTTTGTATGGCATACCTACATGTTTGGCTATGCTTAAGCTTGTGTCAAAGTTACTTTTAAGTAAATTTTAGTTTCCAAACCTTTTTAGAATTTACCTTTACTCACTTTTAAGCAAAAAAGAGTTACTTATTTCCAAATCTGAGGAATAGAAAATAATTTATTTTAAAACTTGTGATTATACTTTCTTATGAGTAAATTGTATAAGCTTAGCCTAAGATGCTCTAACTAAATTCCGAGGTCAGGTACTGGGCTTCACTTTTTGAGAAATGACTAATGCGTGGCAATTTTTTTTTCAGGGTATTACGAATCCTAAGGAAGTGAGAAAGTTTAAAGGAGAAGGAATGCCATTACATTTTAGCAATAAGAAGGGCGATTTATACGTCAAGTTTGAGGTTCTTTTCCCAACTTCACTAACAGAGGACCAAAAGACAAAGATCAAGGCAATTCTTGATTAGTTGATACAAATTCTATATCGTACTATTGTAGCATGACTGTTCTTATAGAAGATTACCTGCCAGCCTTCAGATTTTTCTTTTTCCACCATTTTGTTCCAGCAATAGTAATATTTCAAAGAGATGTATCTTTAGCATTGTCCTTTTCCCCATCATGTGGGGCTTTTATTATTCCTTCGTTTTTCCTCGTTGGGGGTTGGCTTATGATTTTTTTATTGAGGTTTGGTTTCTACCTCGCCATATATGTCTAACATGTTACGTTGTATTAGCTTTAGTTGCATTTAAGGATTTTATGCATCTTGATATCGATCCAACTGTCGAAAGATTGAGACTAGAACGTCATTTATGTATTTTTGGAATTTATGTAATATTTTTCATCCAATTGTGATTGGGAAATTTTTTTCAGGACTAACGGTTTATGTTATTTTATTCATCTCGTTATGCCCACACGGGCAATGAACACAACTGATCTAAATGAGAAAGCAGCAAATGAAATGTGTCATCGGGCATCTTTGGAATTTCATTATACATCATATTGTATAATACAATAACTAAAAGGGTAATTAGCATGTAATGTCACCACATTTTACTGTTATTATGGAAAACGTCATTACCTTTCATTTTTTGACATTTTCGTTCTTATTTCTACCTTTCATTAAGCCAAAAGTCATTTTCATTCATTTTTTCAATTAAAAATTTGTGAAATGATGAATATAACTTTCTTTTTAAATAAAAGAAAAAAAATTAATTGTAACCATAGTCCCAATTTTTTTTTTTAAAAGATAGTTTCAAATAAATTAGGTAATTAACAAATAATGTTCACACCTTTCTTTTTTGACATTTTCACTCTTTATTACACATTTGATTGCGTAAACCATCATTTCTATCTATTTTCATCCAATTTCTTAATAAAAAGTTGTTAAATGATGAATATACCCTCATATTTAAATAAAAAATAAAGAATTAATTGCAACCGCAATCTCAATTTTTTTAAAAAAGTGCATATACGTGTCCCACATAAATTATTAAAAAATTAGAAATTAATAGAGACATTATGTTCTAATTACTTTTTTAATAATTTATTATTTGGGGACTCATTTATGCTTTTTTTTAAAAAAAATTGAGATTATGGTTGCAATTAATTTTTTCTTTTTCCTTTTGTTTTATTTAAATAGAATGGTATATTCGTTATTTCACAATTTTTAATTGAGAAAATGGATGACAAGGACCTTTGGCGCAATAAAATGTTGAAATAAGGGTGAAAATGTTAAAAAATGAAAGGTGATTACGTTTTCCACAATAACGGAACAAAAATGAGAACGTTGTGTGCTAACTACCTTAACTAAAAAGTTAACTTCTTTTTTTTTTTTTTTTTTTTTTTTTTNTTTTTTTTTTTTTTCTTTTCATATTTTAGCTAATCAAATTTTTATAAGGTTATCGCGGATGGTGGATCCATAGGTGGTTGATTTCATTTTGTTGTTTTGTCTATGATAACAAGAACACTGAAACTATAAGAAATTAAAATTTATTACACATTAGATATTTAATTATACAAATATTTTATTGAAAAATTTAAGAAAATTCCAATTACATGTAGGAAAGGAAGGATGCACAAGCTTTTTCAAAAGAAGAAAAAGAAAGAAAGGGTACACAAAAGAAGAATCTCTAATGAGAACCGATGCGCTGATTGAAGTCCAACGTAATCATTCCTTTCTTGTTTATTACCAATAGCTTCCTCCTAAATTTAGGGTCAAAATATTATATATGATATTAGGCTAAGAAATTAGAATATGCTTCGAGTACAATTCATGGTTAACAAGGAATTTGACAATTCATGTTAATTCAAATTCGAATGGACGGAAAAGTGTATGGTGTCTAAAAACTGACCACTCCACTTTCAACACGTGGCACATTGTCAAACTTGATGCCAAAAAAATTGTATTTGTAGCATTGTTGAAGAAATTAAGGGTTACAGCATAGACATTATCTACTCTCTTAAAAGAGGGATTTTGAGGATTACTATTCGTTTGTGATTTCTCCTCATATATCATTGTTTCATACGTGGACAAAAAAAAAAAGGCAAGCCATATTTATTGACTTCACAAAGGAAAATGATAGCCCTAATCATCACTACACAATTACAATGCAGACCAATTTTTATTTTTTTCACAGTCCTCGTTTCCACACTGCAATCCCTTAGTTAGTATTCATTAACTGGATCCTCTAAATATCTCTTATATAAAAGTGGCTTTTGCAAAACAAACTTTAGCAATCGACTTCTTTCTTTTTGTTCCACATGAATTTCTGCAGATTAATGTGCTCATCTTGAATGTTACGGTTCCATATTTTTTGGCCGTTCATTTAATTTGTGTACTTCATTTCATTAGTTTTATTTTGTTGATGCAATAATGCTCTACAAATTGTTTTGGTCGTTCCGTAATATGCATTGTTGATTCTTGTTGATTTCTTGCAGGTTTTGTGCTGTGAAATCTATCCGTCAGCTAAAAAGGTAAGCTTTATTTTTTTCAAACCATGAACCGTAAAGATCTCACTTCTTTTGATAATTTTTTATCTTTCTTTTTCTTCTTGTTCTATATTTTTCCTACACAATATGCTTAGCACTTAGCAACTTCAAATGGGTTTACTGAAAGACCATATGTATCTCGGAATTATTTAAGTGCATGTTGGGGGTCTTCCCCTCTTTTGTGCTTTTAGTCATTTTCAATGTGTAAAAACAAATGACACTACATATACACCATGATTGTACAGTCCCCTCACATAGAGGAGACCCACAAATTTTTTATTCATGGTGGGCCCCTCACATGTGAGGGGGCTGTACACCATGCTGTATAGCATGGTGTACAACTATCATTTTTCTAAAAAAAAAATATTGAACCATGCTACAGTGCCCGCGTGGTTGACCGCGGGGATGACCGCACACACACAGGAGGGGTCGAATTATTTTATTCAGGGGTGGGACTCGCGCCAAGGCTGTGAGTGTGCGGTCATCCCCGCGGTCACTGGCACGGGTCGTTTAGTATTATTCAAAAATATTTGCTCTGGAAAATATACTTTGTTTTACCATGAAGTTCTCATTTGAACCCTAAGTTAATTTCTCCTAATCTAATTTGTTGACCCCAAAAAATGTTGCCAACAGATATCGGGCCCACTCGTGCACACGTAAG